CTATTACTGGTTTGGCAGGATTGCGCAGTCTCCCAGCTCAGAAAGTTTTACGCCCACTGCTCTTTTGAATGACTCCCTCCTACATGATGTCTAGTTTATAGTATGTGTCGGCTTCCGCTTTGTCTCGTGGAATTCACGCCCTTCAAAAAATCCGAACCAATGCAGCCACTTGTGTTTATATCTCTAATAACGTCCCTGACATCAGTTGAGCCTCAAAGTGTCAAAGTGACGCGGTTCTGTAATTTAAGTCGATCTGATGGTAATGTATCCAATTTCAGTCCTGCGTTCCGGGCTACCGCCGAGTGAATAACCAGTTGTATGGTGGTCATTGTGAGAAGTGCACTTGCCAGGATCATTCCGATACTTGCGATCCCTTCACGGGAGCATGTACAAACTGTCAGGTAATGGTTTCTGCAACTCGTCTATTAAACAGACGTCGTATTGAGGATTGAGGTATTGAATGGTCATTCAGCTGAGAGGCTATCTAACAGCTTTTCAGCTAAATGGCCACCTAATAAGGTCCTTAATACGACTGAAAAAAGCGCATGATGCCGATTTTGCCTTTTGTTCAGCTCATAGCCATTTTGACAAGGAGAACTACTGTATTTATCGAAGAGCATCATTTCATTTCAGCACAACACCACAGGCCCACGATGTGAGCTCTGCCTGCCCGGTCACTATGGAAATCCCTCTCTAGGTGTGGCAAGTTAAACTCATCTAAATCTTGGTCCTCAGCCGACCCGTTCCTCTTTTCTAAACACGTGTCTCCTAGGTGGGGAACTTGGTGCATGTCGTCCTTGTGCATGCCCAACGGCGGAAAACAGCCGCTCTGCTGAGTGTGTTATGACCCAGGTAAGATGATGTTGCTCAGTTCCCCAGACTGATGTCTGCCTACTAATAGATACTTGCAGCTGGTCGTGTCGGGGCCGGCAGCATCGCAGGAAGACGCGTACGTGTGCACGGCTTGCGAACGAGGTTACGAAGGGAATAAGTGTGAAGTGTAAGTAATTCCACCCGATCTTGACTGGCAGTTCTCCAATCTATCTCTTTGCTGAACTGAATGTCCGAGTCGAGCGTTTTCAGATGCGCTGACGGGTTCTTTGGCAATCCAATGGAGGCTAATGGCACTTGCAAAGAATGTGAATGCAATGGAAACATTGATTTGATGGCTATCGGTAATTGTGACACGGTAACTGGAAGATGTCTGAAATGCATCGGAGATACAACTGGCGAGCATTGTGAAGTGAGTATTTATGGGTGGGAGGAGGAAGTGAGGGAAGCAGAATTAGGACCATTCGGAGTTATTTCCTACCCACCTTGAGAACTTTCTCACTCCTTGTTAAGATCGCGACACGCTTAAAATATGACTGCAAAAAGGAAATTTTCAGATTTGCAAGGAGAACCACTGGGGTTCGGCATTGGAGCACACCTGCAAACCCTGTGGTTGCCACCACGTTGGTGCTTCCTCTCCTCAATGCGGCAGCCTAGGCGAATGCACATGCAAACCGAATTACATCGGGAAGCAATGCGACAGATGCATCGTGAGTTCCTTAGAGCTTTCTCCCGAGAAGTTAGTGATCTAATGGGAGTTATCGCCAGGACGGTCACGGAGACATCGAAAAT